AATTAATGACCATCTGATCAGCTACACTATAAATCTATAGCAATCCAATGCAACTTTTCTGCCATAGTATTTTTAATGATACTCAAATGTTTTAGTAGTTCATAGTTTGTACTTACGTAGTTTGTAACAACGTGACGTTGTGATGTTTAGTGGTTGTCGTCCAGCTCTTCTCCATCTGTTCCTACTTTTCTCCTTCACAGTCCAAAAGGTGATCGAGTAAGAAGCAGAGTAGAGCTGGTGTCAGTGCTGGAGGGTATTCTGGACCTGTCAACCTTTGATTACAAATCAGGAAAGTTCTACGATGGCAAGGCACGACCCATGAGAATACGACACAGAGTGAAGGTATCTGCCTCTTTATCACGTAAAACTTGGCGTGTAAGACTGTCCATGAATAAAGGTTTTAATGTTGAATATATTTTTCTCAAAGATGTTTTCTGTGATTTTAGGTAGTTTTTATCATACCAATATATGTTCAATTGTTAATTTCTCCAGTAAATTTGCTTTTAATTAATTAGTTATCATTCTATTAAAACAGGGTAAACCTCATAATAGACAGCTTTTTTTCTTGCAATAAAAAAACTAAATATGGCTGACAGTTTTCTCATCAACTAAAGTTGGTCCAGCTATGATTGGTATTACAGCATGTTTCCCTCACTTTCTCATCCATTAGAGAAAGATAAGGGAGCGTTCTTCCTCAGAGTCCAGCTTCATGGAGAGAGGAGAGGGGGCCGACACCCCTGACTCTTACCACAGGCTCACCCCCAGTCTGGGGCCCAAAAACGCTTTTTCCACCCAGACGGGCTTCTCCACGCACAGCACAATAAGCACTCCAAAACTCTATCGCAATGAGGATCTACCAGTGGATGACAGAATTAAACTTCCTCAGCCCTCATCATCCAAACCTCTGCCTCTCCCCTCCATCAATGGAGAAATTGGGACAGAGGAGAGCACTTTGTGAGTCTATTTCTTCTGCTGATATTATTGAACCTAAGTTTTTGGGGAACAATTGATGAAACTGACAGGACAGTTTTAATTTAAGTTTTAATTTAATCAGGGTCTGTATTCTATTCTCTGCAGGATCTGTGCCAGATGTGGTATTTCTTTCACAGGCACATGGTACGACAAACAAAGGAAGAGGCCTTGCTGTCCGTCCTGTTGGGGTATGTCTGTGCATGAGCATTGCTTTGTAATAATTTTTTATGACAAACCAATATCAAATAAAGAAATAGAGAGACATAGAGTAAAATATGCCACCGTTTTGCTCATTCTACACTGGTTATTCCTTTTTTAATTCCAGCTGCCTCAAAGACAAAGGAGCATCCGATGATCCGTTTCAGAAAGGTAAAGCATTGTGTGTGTGAACAAGAAATATGCATGAGCAGCTACTTTTTTAACTGTCCCATCTCCTTCTTCTTTCTTGTTGTGCGATTGCGTCCAGCCATAAAGTACAGTTCCTGCTATTGTGTTTTGCCATTTAATGCAGACACAGTGAGGGAGAGTAAATTGCACAGTGTATGCCTTCACTCAAATACTCAAATGTCTATGGTCATTGGACTATGGTCCATGGGAAACTAATATTTAACTAATAAAACAAACACAATTCTCCGAGTTTGTGAAAATGACAGTGACGGAACATATGATTTGTGTTATTTTTATTTGGCATGAAGACAAGGTCCACAACAAAGAGAAAATGTATATTCTTCAGCACTAACAAGTCAAGCATGTTCTTCCAGAGTTCCTCCTAGTGATTAATGAGTCATAAAATACAAATAAAATCTCCCTTTCTATTCATGTCAACTGTAGTGGATTCCTTGTGGCCAGTGTGTGGGATGTCACAACACCGTGAATTGTGGGCAATGTGCCAATTGCAAACATGGCCTGCAGAGCCCTGAGTCCCGGAAACGCATATGCCGAAAGCGCAAATGTATTTGTCCTATTCGCAAGGTAAGCTGCAAGGTTCACAATTTATTGTTCATGTTACTGCTTGATGTTTATTTCACTTTTGCAATTGTGTTGTTTTTTGTTAAATCAGGGACCTGGAAGTGGAGGCTTCCTGCAGCAGGGGTCGTACACTGACGTTCCTGAAAGCTTTGATGACACGTGCATGAGTTTTCAGGTAGGAAAAATTGCATGATCCATGTGCATACTGTTCTCGCTGGAGGGTCATAAGGTAGAATGTACCATTTTTACATTTACCACCTTTTTCTCTTTA